TTTTCCTGGACACAAACTGTTTTCCTCCTTTCTCTTCTGCATGACAGTTCTTATCTTAAAAATGATAAAATCACTCAAACATATGCTTTTACATTTCTCAGCCATGAGCCACTAAGCCATTTTACATGCCGAATGTTTACCAAACCACGTGGGCAGGTGAATGATAAGGGTGCAGTCCCGCTGATGCAAGCTCCTTGTTCATGCTGAGTCACAGGAACGCCAAGCTGATGACCTGATACAAAATCAACATTATTAGGTACTGCTTCCTCACTGGGATAAACACAGCCAGTTCTGCGGAATAGAAGTCAACTCTAATCTAGCTGTCTGTGGAATTGACTTGACTAGGGTCCCTGTCCCATACTAGCAGCTGTGTGCTTTTGAGAAAGAGACTATCTGGTTGTCATTTTTTTTTTTTCAAGACAGGGATTCTCTGTGTAGCTTTGCGCCTTTCCTGGAACTCACTCTGTAGATCAGGCTGGCCTCAAGCACACAAAGATCCGCCTGCCTCTGCCTCCCAAGTGCTGGGATTAAAGGTGTGCGCCACCACTGCCTGGCTCTGGTTGTCATTTTAATTTTCTCTTTGCAATAAAGCAGCTCTATCTGGTGGCCTCCCAGAGGGCCAAATAGGTTTTCTGCTAAGGTAAGAGGCTGTGAGACTAGGTCAGTAAGATGAGGCAAGGTGAGACAGAACAAGAATTATGGGATGGTAGGTGTGCAGCTCTGGCCACAAGGCCTCCATCTGTAACTGATGAGCAGACCACTGAGGCCTGAGCGTCCCACTTGTCCTATACTGAGCTGGAAGTCTGAGATGTGCAGACCCCAGTTGAGGGGCTCTACAATATCTGTCCCTTTGAAACACTGCAGACCTTTCCCACCAAAGCCACATCCCACCAGAAAATGCCAGCCTCCAAATAGAGCCACATGCAACACATCCAATCATAAATGGCATGTGAGGCTTAAGCCCGCCCCTGAAGCACTCCGGCCCAATGAGCATCCGGGCAGAGACTCTAAACCTCCCCCATTCCACCTTGGTCTTCCTGCCTGGGACATTGAGCATGCTCAGACTTGAGGTCGTTAAGGAAATGCTCAGGAGCTGCTGAGCCGTTGTGGAGGAGGTCTGTGGAGTTCATCTGTTGAGGGCAGTCCCAGGCCAGGGTGGCCAGGTTCAGGTTCTCCTCAGAGTCTGGACTTCCTCCCAGACCTGGTTCTGGGGAGGAGAGGTGAAGACAAACCTGCCTTCTTGACAGCAGTCTCCTCTAAGACCAGGTCTAGTGAGGCCGTCTTCTCAGAGCCTGGAGACTCCTCACAGCCCAGTCCTCATGAGGCTGAGATGCCCTCAGTGAAGATCCAGGATGGCAGGATGCAGTTCTGAAAGAATTATAGGCATTCATCCAGATTATTATGGGCTTAACGTTTTCCGTATTTCTTTACTTCATCTTAGTGCCTGTGGGATCAGTAATATCCCCTTTCTCATTCCTTATGTGAGTAACTAACAATCTTTCCTTTTTCTTTGCTAGTGTGCCTAGAGATTTATCAGTGTTGTATACATCTTTTTCTTACCCCTTGTCATCTTTATTTGTCAATTAAATTTTAAAAATTGACTAGGGGCTTCTTAATCACTTTGCTTTTAGTATTTATATAAAATTTATGTCACAGATTACAAATTTATTTAAGTCAGGTGTTAAGTATTTCATGTCTATAATCCAAGCCCTTGGGATCAGGATTCCATGAGTTTGAGAACAGTGTGGGTTACACACGTAGCTCTGGATACACTGCTACAGAGTGAGATCTTATTGTAGAACATACAAACAAAATCCAGATGTGTTCACTTTCATATGAAATCAATGTTTTAGTTTTTCTAATCATGGTGTAGCTTATTCCAGAAATTTTGTTATGTTTTATTTCCACTT